AGAGAGAGAGAGAGAGAGAGAGAGAGAGAACTTGGTAATAGGAGTGGTGATGTGATGTAAGTGATGTGTTATTGATTGTTGTCACCCTTGTGATCTGATGGTGTGCACACTACGCTTGAAAGTTGGCCGTTTTCGCTACTAGCCTTGTTAGTTGCTCATTTAAGTGCATTTGTGTTCCATCATGTTATGTAATGCAATGATTGCCACCATCACTCAACAATTTTTTTATGCTGTATCCATTTCTTTTGTAGTATGACCTGCTCCAGTACATTATCTCGACTCCGGCTTGGCCATCGCTCGTGTAGTACGACCGCCGGGTCCAGTAAATTCTGTTGACTCCGGCTTGGGGAGTTCAGGTATTGGCTGGGGAAGAAGAACGAATGTGGCTAGAGCCGAGAGAGGCACTGGCAGATGATGAGGCCGAGGGAAACAGCTGGAAACACAAAGAAGAAAAGGGAAGGACACAGGAAACTAGCTATGGTGGACAGGGAGATATGGAGACCTTTTTGTTTGAGAGGTGGCCGACAGTAGGGCTGTGTAGGCGGATTGAAGGACTTGTATTTTCCGGCATTGTGGAGTCGAATGTGGACCCCTGGGGCTTCTGTACAGGTTGTCATGCTCAGTCATTCAAGCGGCTTCTGTCATTCAGTGAGACTCAAAAGGACTTCTATATCGGCCGCCATGGTATGAATAGAGCAGTACCAGAGAAATAGTGTAGATGAATGGCGAAGTAAAGGAGGGTGCTGTGATGATGCAGCAGTGGCTGGAACGGTGTTGGCTGGGCAGTTTGTTTTGCTGGTGAACGATCACATCACAGGTCTGTGTTGCGGTGCTGACATGGTATTTATATACCTGCCAGATTGGACAGCTACGTAGCTATTGGGGCTTGTTGTAGAGGGGTTTGTGTGGCTGTGGTGGTTTTCAACTTTCCATGAGTGCGAGAAAGTGATAAGAGCTTGGATAAGCAGTAGCTGATCGTACCCACGGGCAATGTGGGTAGTTCAGTTGTTTTTTTATGTTTTATTTATTTATTTATTTAATTTTATTTTTTACACCCACAAAGTGTTGAAATTTTCAGACCCGAGTTTGAATTGAGCAGGTGAGCAGAATAAAATAATTAAAAGTGGGTACACCCTTGAAAAAAAAAGAGTAACTGATCTTTTGCATGGGCAGGTTCTTGTGCTGACCGTGCTGGGAACATCGAGGCTGTCTAGCAGTCTCTTGTCTTCCTTGCAAAATAGTGTAAACAGAGGGTCTAAGTGTGGGTACACCAGGAKAGAGAGAGAGAGAGAGAGAGAGAGAGAGAGAGAGAGAGAGAGAGAGAGAGAGAGAGAGAGAGAGAGAKRKWGTGCTRAMCGTGCTRGGAACRTCGAGGCTSTCYAGCRGTYTCTTKTCTTCCTTGCAAAATAGTGTAAAATGAGGGTCTAAGTGTGGGTACACCAGGAGAGAGAGAGAGAGAGAGAGAGAGAGAGAGAGAGAGAGAGAGAGAGAGAGAGAGAGAGAGTGTTGAAAATGGCGACGGGCAGGCGTCATGGCAGGCGTGCGTCTTCGGAGTATGGTTTGCCACATTTTAATTCACGGGATGGTGCGGAATTCCCTCTTCGCAATAGGGAAGTGGAAGCGGCTCCACAGTTCGGTTATTCAGCCGAGGGTAACATGGGTAATCGTGACGAGATGGTGGTCAGACAGATCAATCAGTTGAAAGAGGAGCTTGATCTGGAGAAAGGGCGGCGGGAAAGGCTGGGAGAGCAATTGGATGAAATGATGCAGAGGGCGACAAAGAAGGAGGCGGATGTGGTCAATCTCAGGCGCAGGCTTGGCAAGGAGATGCAGAATCGATACGAGCTCGAGAAATCGAAAAAGGATTTGGAAGGCGTCTTAGAGTTGACGCAAAGTATGCTGGAAGACGAGAAGCGCATCGTGGAGTTGCGAAGCGCTGAAGTCACTGCACTCGCGAGCAAACTCGATGCGGAAAGGGAGTTGAGGACGCACATGCAGAATCGCATGGGGGCTTTTCAAAGAGCAGTAAACATGAATGACATGAACTTGGTGACTCCAACGTCAAAGTCAACGTCCGTAAGCAGGAGCGGGGACGATAGGGCGGCGGAGCTGGCGATCCTTCGAGGCGAACTTCAGGTTGAGGCATATGAGCGAACTCGATTGGAGGACAAAGTGGAGGAGCTTGAGCGGAAAACGGAAGAGCTCGCACTGCAGCTGGCGTCGACCAGGTCGGCAAAGGAAACTGCTGAACAGAGCTTAGCTGACGTCAGAGGTCTACTGCATGCCGAGTCTAAGGAGAGGACTCAGTTAAAGGCGATGATAGAAGAGTGTGAAGGAGCAGCGCAAAGAATGGAAAAAGAATTGAGATCTACACAGTCAACGTTGAATGAAGAGAGAACGCTGTCCGTCAATAAACTTGCAGATGCACTTGGTCAATTGCAGCTGGAGGTCGACAGGAGGAACGAGGTGGAGAAGAGAGAGAAAGAGTTGAAACGAAAGATGGGAGAACTGGATGCGCAGTTGGCATTGGCGACGAAGCAGGCAGTGGAGTCGGAGAAGAAACTTGTGGCGGAGAGGGATGCCGTGGTCAGTGCGGCAGCTCTCGAGAGGACGCGGCTTGAAACCAGAGTGGATGAAGTGGAGAGGCTGATGAGAGACGCGGAGGCGCAAGTGGCGTCCCTCACGGCAATGCTTACGGCGGAGAGAAAGAAGCTGGGTGATAGAGATGCTGAAATGAAATGTCTGAACGAGTCTGTGGGTTCCCAGACAACTCGCCTCGAGGCGCAGTTGGAAGAGTCGCGAAGAAGGACAAAGGACTTAGAGGCGGATCTGGAATGCTCCAGATTGGCAGTTGCGGCAGAGAAGCAATTTGCAGCCGGTGTCAGTTCGCAGCTAACGGCTGAGAGAGATAGAAGAAACGAAACGGAGAAATCTCTGCAAGAGTTTGAAAGAAGGGTGAAAGAACTGGAGGCAGATTTGGCTATCTACAGGTCAGGCTTGGGAGCAGAGAAAGGGCATGCAGCCAGTCTTGAGCACGAACTGCAGCTCGAGCGTGGCAGGAGGACTCAACTGGAGACGACAGTCCAGGAGCTTGAAGCAAGGACAAAACACCTGGAGGGAGAATTGACATCCTGCAGATCAGCCTTGGCGACAGAGAAGGAAATCGTGGAAGCGGAGACGCGAAGGCGGACTCAGCTTGAGGAAAGAGTGGAGGGGTTTGAGAGGAGTACGAAGGATCTGGAGGCAGACTTGGCATCCTCAAGACTGGCACTGGCTGCAGAAATGGAAACGGCAGCTGGTATCGTCAGCAGACTGGAGTTTGAGACTCAAGGTAGGACTGTGCTTGAGACCAGAGTGCTGGAGCTTGAAATGCGGATGAAAGATATGGAGGCGGAACTGATGTCCACGAGGTCTGAATTGACTTCCGAGAGAGTGTTGGCGGCAGACATTGGGGGTCAATTAGCTGCGGAAACCCAAGTACGAGCGCGGCTGGAGAAAAGACTGGCAGTGCTTGAAAGAATGACAAAGGAATTGGAGGGTGAGGTGGTACCCACCAGGTTGGCATTAGATGCAGAGAAACATCGCGCAGCGGGAACAGGTGCGGAACTGGAGCGCCAGGTCCAACGGAGGACGGAACTCGAGGTAAGCGTCAAAGAGTTGGGCCAAATAAAGGATGCGTTGGAGGAGGAATTGTCGTCCCTGAGACCTGCTTTGATGGCAGAGAAGAAGGCCAGGGCTGAGATTGGGGCTCAGCTGGAGGTTGCTGTTGCAAGGACCACTCAGCTAGAGGCAAGGATGGAAGAAATGGAAACGATGACGAAGGATTTGGAGGTGGATTTGCAATCTACCAGATCGCAACTGGAAGCAGAGAAGGCGGCCAGGCCTGAGATTGGGGCTCAGCTGGAGGTTG